TCTCTCTAAATGATGGCATAACAGAAGAAAGTGTGAGGGTTTCTTTGAACACTGTTTTTATCCCCCACTTCCTTACGAATTCGCCTATCCTTTTTGAAAGAAGGCATGACGTTAAATTAGGACATGTGAAAAGGTCTTAGCTTGTTCATCTTTGAATAAATCGTCTCCGTCTCTAAATGTATTCCTCAGTAAAGAGATATTATTCTCAACAAGGCCCAAAGGATAATTATTTTCCAGGAATACATATGTCAGCCGTTCCAACACTATATTTAAATGATTGCTATCCGTCAGTCTTATGTTGTAATAATCATGCCATAATACTTCATTAAGAAATTATTCGAAACCCAGTTTTTCTTCATATCTCTGAAGTAGGTACGGTTTTTAATTTTTCTCGGAATTTGTCATTATATACAAAAACCAATAGATCGTTGGCCAGGCAAATCAATCACATTCGCTTTTTGAAAATTTACTTACCCATAGAATTATAGATAGCCTTTGTATCATTTTTAGGCTAACTTACCTTGTAAAACTAAAACCGATCTTTTAGACGTTTGCTAGATAAGACCATTATAAGGAAGCTGAAGGAGAATGAGCAAATAGTATTAAGGGCAGACAAATGAGGAGCAGTAGTAGTTATGGCTAAGACTGATTATGCAGGGAAAATGTTAGAGGCATTAGTTGATGATAAAACATGTAAGAATATAATTAGGGACCAGACACAATGTCTTGAGGTCAGACTTAAGGGTTTTCTGCAACAATTTGTAAACAGTGGAGAGCTGGAAAAGTGGGAAATGAATGTACTACGTCAGCGAGATGCTAGACCCTAAAATGCGTATGCTCTGCCCAAAATCCATGAGCAAGGTGCTCCACTTAGGACTATTGTGAATGATAGGAGTAGCTTGATGCATAAGACATCACGATTTATAAGTACTCAGTCAAAGCAAATCTCCGAAAGTTGGAAATTTTCAGTAAATAACTGCTATGACTTTATTAAGTTAATTGATGACCAGACGATGAGATTTACTGGTAAGTTTCGATGTAATGTCTATGTCCACTAACATTCCGATAAACGAGGCAATGAAGGCGTTCGAATTAACTCTAGACTAACACCTTGAAATAATAACAAGTAAACAGTTAAACAAAGGTTCAATCATTAGATTAGTCAATTTGGCAATGTATAATACATATTTTACCTTAAATGATAAGTTGTATGAACAGGCACGGAGTTTGGCTATAGGATCTTGTTTAGCCCACATTTTAGATAATAATACTAAGTTTATCATGAAGTTAGAAAAGGAAGATAAATTGCCTTTTTTGATGTTTTAGTGAGCAAATAAGGTAATAAGTTAGGTAGAGACACAGGTTTCCTTATCAATTTATCCTAGAACCATACATATAAAGTAAAGATAGTAGGTATGACGTCTACCATAATGAAGAGTCTGCGTCTATCAGATGCAAACTATAGAGACCAGGAGATATACTGTTTCAAAACAACTACCCATTATGATTAGTAGATAATTACATATAAATAGTAATTAACAAGATTAAGAGAGTTTGTGATCAGGCGTAGGATAGAAAACTGAACAATTCTACACGGTCCCTGATTTTGCCTTCCTGTCAGCTTGCGAAAAAGTTGGGTGAACTACTGAGGAAATGGAACATAAAAATAATGTATTAAGAAAAATTAACACTTTCTTCAGTAGTTCCTTCGTATAGAGAATATTCAGACCCTCTTTCTATATCAGACTGCTACAAGTTTTTGTGTTTATGTGGTAAAGTATATGTGGGGAGACCTGCCGACCCATTCACAAGAGACTATACGACCAAAAAACCGCTTGTAAAGGTGCGTGTCCAAAATTCTGAGCTCGCTGAACATAAGACAGGAGACTCAATAGATTGGTCCCAAACGCAAAATTTTGCGGGCTACGCGGACTTCACGTCAAGGCCTAATATTAGGGAGTCTATAGAAATTAGCAAGACATCTAACGTCCTGAATACATGAAATGAGTGTAGATTATCATACTACTCATGACATGGGCATCACATACAGACAATATACAATAGCACTAGCGCAAGCATGATTCAGCATTAGGCGATCGTACACTAGTTTTTGTGTGATGAAAAAACTGCAACCGGACGCATTTCCGGTTCGAGAAATCAACTTCACTCATTTGCAAGCATGTGAAGTAAGATTGAAGTAGCCAACCAAATGAAGAGAGGCCTCATTAAGGTGCATAAAAAGCGACCAGGGTTGCAGCCGGTCCCCTTTTCTCTTGGTTTAGTATATTTTTGCTCTATTTCGTACAGTATGGAATCTTGCTCTGATGATGTTTGTCATAGTACAGACGAAAGCTTAGTACAGTTTCATCGGAGTCGTAGGACGGTGAGCCAAGCACTTCTTCGCACAATTCAACATTCTTCCCTACGCGGCAATCCTCCTTCGGCTTCCGGTGAGACCATATCACGAACTCCTACCAACCAACTTTCCCTTCGAAATGGGCAGTCATGCCGCAACAAAACATGCGATGTAGAAATGGACCAAATTGGACTATAAGAAGGAAATAGATTTGTAGCCGCCTACTTTTCTTGTTCTCATATTTTTGATGAATTTTCGTTAACCATGCTGTCCTGCTCTGAAGATTTCCGTCATATGATTCACCGGGGTCGCACGGCGGAGCCCCGAGGATCTATTCGTACAATTCTACAACCACAGCTCCAAAGCAACCCCCCACAGTCTCCGGTGCAGCCAACTTACGATTCCCCTCCACTCGCCTCTTCAAACGAAATGAAAGTTACTCCAACATTCGTGAATTGGCTTACCGGAAACCAAAAGGAGAATTGCTTTGGAGCGAAGCATGCTGAAAATGTTAAGATGTCCTCGGCTCACCGCACTGTGACTTCGATGAATCTGTGCTGAGATTTTGTCTGTAATGTTATAGACATCGTCAGCTCGAGTTGCCATACTTTATAAATAATTCATACCAATATACTGAACATGGTGAAAAGGTAATTTATTTGTCTTTATATATGATGACGAATTCCACAAAGAATAGAAATTGTACGTACTCTTCTATGTGAATAAGAGCTAGGTATCGGAGGATCCCTTAATGACCAAGTATGTCACGACTTTAATTTCAGAGAAAAGTTTATTTACAAGAATCCACCTTTTATGAATTAACCTAACCCATCTGTAAGCATGTAGACTAAGTATAAAGTAACAAAACGAATTATGAAATGCCTCATTAAGATCACAAAAGTGGGGATAAGATGTGTTAGACTTGAAGCTAGTCATCATTATCTTGCTTAAGTACAGCTCTTCCTTTTTAGGGAAGTATGATTTCTCGTTCTGATTATTTCTGTCACGTCGTGACAGCATGGATCAATCTGGATCGCACGACGATGAACCGAGAACTCCTTCACATAATCAAACACTCATCACTCCAAGACATTCCTCCTGTTTTATATACGAAGA